GACATGAAACAGACTGTCGCCCTAAGTGTTGACTTCTATGTTCACTTATATATATATATATATATATATATATATATATATATATATATATATATATACATATGAGAAAACATTTCTTTTAAAGATATAAATTAAATACCTCACTCGATACTGCAGTTTCACCTTTTGGATTCTCAGGCTGGTTTGGTTATATTTGGTTCTCGTAAAATAAACAAAACAGCCTGAAGATATATAAGTTGAAACTGCGATATCGGGTGAGATATTTATAGCTTAAAGAAAACGATCTTAGAATTTATAGTTTATGTATTGAGCACTTTTTAAATTCGGCAAGAACCGGTCAACTTCGAAGTAAATGGAAATTTTATATATATATATATATATATATATATATATATATATATATATAGAGAGAGAGAGAGAGAGAGAGAGAGATAGATAGATAGATAGATAGATAGATAGATAGATAGATAGATAGATATGCACTACCTAAGCCAGAGATCGAACTTAACGGCTTATAGAGAATTAAGGAGTTTTTTACTTTTTTACATTTCGGAATGAATCAACGTAACCCGTTACAAGTTTAAAAATGATTGATGAGGGCATTCCAATGCCTCTTTTTTCGGGATGGAGAGTGATAAAGAAAGAAAGAAAGAAAGAAAGAAAGAAAGAAAGAAAAAGAAAGAAAGAACTGCCTGAGTTTTGCCTTCTGGAGTTCTGTGATTTACTGAATTATTCGAACGAGCCGCCCAGCTTTCGAACATTGCGTTTTTTTTTTCTTTTGTTTTTGTTTTTACAATATTTTCCAAACTTTCACTTCTTTACAGATGAAAAAGACAAGGATCCGTTCAATTCAGTGTGCATAGGAAGTAGAGAATGGACAGAATAATTTTTTCAAAAATTCAAAGTCAGGTGATGTATAAATATGTGGACGGCCAAAGAGTTAGGCGTTTGGAACAACAAAGATCAAATAATTGATTTTCAAATGTAACAGCAGTTTGTAAAAATGTTGACAAACAAGATGGCAGCGTTTTGGCATTCGGAAAAGTAAAGAGTATAGCTCTCCAGCTAAATCTGAATAACTCGTATTGATCGGGCTTTGTAAGTACCAGAATAACTCCTACAGAAAATGCCAGGGTGTGTCCAGCAAAATACTGTCTTCCATATTGAGAACATACAGTTCTTGATAATGACGGAAGTGGTCGAAAGTACTTGAACAAAACAGAACAAAGGATGATCTTTGGAAAGTTTCTCCCTAATTTGAATCGCGATATTTCATAAGTTATTCGAAATTTTGGAAAATACAATACAAAATTATACAGACAGACCTTGTCGGTTGAATTCAGTAGAATTTGTTTGAATGAATTCTTGCTGTCTTAATCTATTTTCTCTCTCTCTGTCTCTATCCTCCCTCTTACTGTCTGTTTGTATGTCTCTCTCTTGATATATATATATATATTATATATATATATATATATATATATATATATATATATGTGTGTGTGTGTGTGTGTGTGTGTGTGTGTTGTGTGTGTGTGTGTGTGTGTAAAGCAATCTTTCTTTTACGCATGTTTCATTGAATGTGACGTATAAGGAAAAATTTTTTTATTCAGTTTTTTTCTAATGTTCTTAACGTTTTCCCTTTATGGAGACTGTCCGTAGTGTTTATTATCCTAAGCGCTTTCGGCCAATTCATAGCCATTTTAAAGGGCATTGTTGTTAGTATGTCTTCCTGTGTTTATGTTCTAAGTTGTATTGTGTAGAAGTAGTAGTAATTCTAAGCTATGGGAGTAGTAGTAATTTCATGTTCGGCGTGTCTTTAAAAGACTGCCAACATGGTCGTTACGTTCTCAAATAGGGTAAGGTTGAGACTTGGCTTAAACCGTTTTAGTGCTTCAATTATCCTAAGACATCTTTTACAATTAGATGTTCTTAGAATGATAGTGTTATCTATAAGACTTTTTTTCTCATGGGAGCAGGTAGTTGCGTCTGGGTATTTCTTTATCGTACTGATATCGCTTATGTGTTTTGTCAATTTGCTACTTAATGAATTATAACTTGGGACCAGAAAGCTTCCAGATTAACGGATTTGACGAACTAGTGAAGCTTAGGGTAAGAAATGGAAAAATAATGCATCTTCTATTCCATGTTACTGATATCAATGAAACTTAACGTATGAAAAGAATTCTCACCCTCTAAATTTAACTGCAAGTATGTTGACTTTAGGTACATTTTCTGAGAAAGAGCACATAATCTGGCGCGAATCAGTAGTTGAATAGCCAGCACGTTCAAACCCTCGGTCACGATGACTTGTGACTTCGTGCTATCATAACCATCGACAGCTTCCAAACAGCTTCGTCTATACAATTTCACTGACAAGGATTAGGTCCACCCGTGGTATGGTTTTTATTTATATTCTATTTTGTGGTTTTATTTATATTTTTTCACATACTTCCCAACGTCGCCAAACACTGAGATCACCGATTTCATCACATTATCATTACCTTCTTGACAAATCAACCATGGTGAGATTCGAACCTGGGTTTTAGAGTTGAAACGCTAATCTTCTAAACAGTCGCCTACGCAAGAACAACAAAATTATGTTTTATTTTCCAGGTTTTCAATACCAAACTATATACATCCTGAGGTAATTTTTAATCTAAAAAAAAATGATAAGCAGAATTTATTTCTTCAGTGTTCTTTAAAATGATTAAAACAGTTGCAGATTTAAATAAATTAATATAAATAAATAAATTACTAAATTAATTAAGTTGGTGTAATAACGTGAAAAACATTCCTCGGAAATTTAAAATGGAAATTTCTTTATAAAATGTCCGTCCTTTATTAAATAGTAGCAATAATAACTAGCGTTGCCTGGGCCAAATCTCTTTCCATTGTCCCGCGACGGTAGGTAGTCATATCTTTGCTTGGGAAATTTACGTTTGTTGTGAAATGGCGTTAGTGAAATTGTCGTCATTTAAGCATTTTGGCATTCGTTTATTTCATTCGACATTTATAAAATTATAATTTACAATATTTGTTACATTTTCAAAATAGACGATTAAAATGCCAATATTGCTTGCTTCCCTTTACTTCTAAGATAGGATTTAAATACTGGGGTCGTTACCACTTTCAGGGTAGAAAGTGGCTTTATTTAAAAACAAAACAATTGCTTAGAGACACTTTCTTTTGTGTGACATTGCATGTGAATATGTACAATGTATATGTGTATGTCTGTTGTGTGTAAGCGACTTCTATGTGGTTGTGCCATTTAATACACACAATTTGAAATATGACATTGAAATAATACATTTTCTTCCACTCAGTCTGGACAACACTTACCCTCGGCTGAGCAATATAATCATAAAGTCGGAGACAAAAAAGGGTAATTTTTTAAACTCTAAAATATCAGATAATTGTAAGATTTTATTGAACTTTTCAAAAATTATTCAATAATAAAATTATTTTGTAAGCTTTTTGAACTTTTCTTGAAATATATTTCGTTCTGTCATTGAATTAAAATATACACGCGTTCTGCGCAAACGCCCATACACACACACACATTGAATGAAATTGAAATAGTCCTCTGTGTCACGATGGCTAATTTCAATGTCTGACAACAACCCCTGAGTAACCGGAAAAGTGTATAAACCCAAATATGCCACCTTTTGAAGTATTTTTTACGAATCCCACTGTGTTTAAACTGAATACATTTTCGAATAAAAGTAGTATTTTAAATAGAAAAACAATTTATATGTGAAATCTGATAATTTGCCGTCAATGAACCAGTAACTTATAAAGGTCACAAAAGAACAGATTGGAACTGAATTACAAAAGACCCCCCACCCACCCCAAAAAAACAGTTATTTTTTAATACGCATATTTTTAATGCTTAGATCGCAAATACTCAACTTCCTCACGAGAGTACCATGGACTGAACATGTGAGTAATGACGAAGTATTTGAAGCAATAGAAACAAAAAGGACCCTGGTGTCTAACATCAGAAAGAATCAGTTGAAATTTCTAGGGCACATAATGAGGAAAGAGGAGTTAGAAAATTTGACTTTGACAAAACATTTCTCATCGTCTTACAATTGAAATGGCTAGATGTAACCGTAAGTTCTATGCTAACAGTTTCTTCTCTCGCTATTTTCGCTTGTGGAACTCTCATCCGTCTTTTTGCCTTCTAGTCAAGTTTGAATTAAAAAATTTAAATGCAATGTCAATCGTTATCTTCTGTTTTCTTAATTCCTGTTCTTTTAGTGTTCTCTCTCCTGATAATGTTTTCTTCTTTTCATTTCTCTCGCACTCAGTAATGCTTTGTGTCTTAGTGGCTTTATTGCTTAGCTTGGGGTGAAATGGTTAAAAAAATAAAATCGATGAATTTTGTGCGTAGGAAATATGTTAAAATAACATGTAAATTTGCGATTTAATAGAGGAAAATAAAAATAAATAAAAAAAAAGTTATGGTGAAAAAATGAGGAAAGAGGGCTTGGAAAATTTGGCACTCACAAGACATATTGAAGTCTAGAGGAACAGAGAAAAGCAGCGAACGAATTTGTGTTAATGGTTGGCAGAACAGAGATTCGAAGAGATAATGAAAACAAAACTTACAAAGAACTACAAATGCAGGAAATTGTGGAGAGTCATAATCGCCCACGTGCTGAAGAAACAAACTACAAAGAAGAAGACTGCAAAATAATATCAGTTAAGTAAGAACGGGCAAGTTGGGCAACTGATTGATTGATTCGTTTTCTATGGCTTAACAACCCCTTGCAGGTTATTTAAAGCCAGTAAATATTTTTAGATTGTAAAAAAATTGAGGGAGATAATAATAATTTAGTGTGGACGAATGATTTAGAGGGGGAAGAAGAGGTGGATTCATACTTTTCTCAAGGCTATTTGCGCGTAAGTGAATATGACGAACCCAACTGGAATAGGAACTCGGCTCTCCTATTAACAATTCCGCGCCATTATCCATTTCACCCCCAACACACCCAAACTTACAGCACCTGGTATTCCCAAGTGGTCACCCATCTAGGTAGTCACCAAACTCAACGTTGCTTAACTTCGGTAATCGTACGGGTACGTAGTGTTTCAACGTGATATGGCTGTATGCATTTATTTTGGAGATAAAAATGATTTTTCCAAATACGAGATCTACTATTTCACCAATAGCTGGAGGAGAAGTGATGGATTCATACATTTCCCAAGGGTATTTGCGCGTAAATGAATGTAATAAACTAGACTGCAATTCGAACTTGGCTATCCGATTTCCCATTGCGAGCCCCTATTCATATACCACCAGCACATTCACCTAACCTTATTTGACAACCATGGTAAAAGGAGGAGAAGTCAGAAGCCAAAAACTATAGAAAAGAATAATCATTGCCTGGCACGGTTTAGGGATATTAAAAACGGAAGCTGTGAAGAACCATAAAGGGACATGGTGCAAATGGTGAGAGAGACAAAGAGAGAAAAAATGAGTGTTGATTTGCCGCTTAAGTATTTTCTTTATATTATAAACTAAACGGAAACAAGGTTGAAAATTTCATCCCGAAAAATCGAAACTAGAACTAATATATTCCGGATTATTGAAGGCCCACAAATGAAAATAAACGCTTCCAGTTTTTTCTTTTCTTTTTTTTTTAACTATGAATTAAGCCGCAACTATATTTACGAATAAATGCCAAATGCTTATTAGCTCGTCATTTTTTTAGCACAATTGTGCAATATATTCAAACGGTAGTTTCTATTTACATAAATCATATGCAACTCACGCACGCAGATAGGTTCCGTTTCCTTGTCTTTTGTGCTCAATATAAAAAAAGATTTACGGCAATTTTCTGCCTGTCTTAATTTGTATAAATCAATTTAACTACCAACAAAAACGGATTCGAGATTTTCTTTATTTTTGTTATTGCTTTTCATGTGTTTATTCTCCTCAACAGAAGACGCTGTTCGAGAATTATAATGGTAAAAAGAAATAATACTAAATTAAGCTTCCCATGATCCTCTGCGCTTAAATTACACTGATTAGTTCGAAACTAAAGATGTTAAAACATCGGTGGAATTAGCACGGAATCAAATTTGCCCACACAAAATTTAACACACTTTTATTTTATTTTTTATTTTTTTGTTAATTGTTTTGTTTTATTTACTCTTTTGTTTTATTTTCCTTTTTCTCCTTTCTTTTTCAGCTAATAATTTTTTTCTTTCAGTTCAACCTTCTTTCACTCTATTTCCACATTTTCTTTCTTTCTGTCTTGCTTTCCTTTCTTCACATTTTCACTCCCACTTTTATGGTGACCCTTCGCGTTACACACGTCATCGATTTTCAGTGAATATAGTGTATCTGGACAAGAGATTGATTTTGCCCCCCCCCCCAACCCCCCAAAATTCTTCTTGTCTTTTTATTGAATCTATTTTTCTTTCGCTATCTTTCCTTTCTTTGTAATTTATATGCCTCCCGCTTGCTCGAGTGACTTTCGCCGTCTCTTTATTTTTGTTATTGTTGTTGTTGTTGTTGTTGCTGCTGCTGCTATTATTATTGTTATTATTATTATTATTATCCATTATTATTATTATTATTATCATTATTATTAAAAGACGTCAATATTTGAAGTAAAAAATGTCAGGGAATGATTCGGTTGGTTGCCTTTTCGCAGTAATGGCGTAGTAACATTCATTCAGCTAGAGAGAAACGATGTGAAAGAGGTCAGAAATATTAAGGACATATTCATTTGCGAAATTTTCAGAAACTTAAATTAATTGAGAAAAAAAAAGTTGTCCGATAAATTATTTTCAAAAAAGAAGGAAAAAAACCCTGAAAATGTCACTTTATCTGAAGAAAATATTTACATGACACTAAAACAAGATAATTCAATGTCGGCTTCAATGTATCGTTATATTTTTTAAAAAATCAAGATTAAATTTTGTTAATATTCTATGTTTTACATTTAACGAATGATCTTTAATTATTAAATAAAAAAGAAGATACAGATTTTATCATGAAACAAAATGAAGACTTATTCTCTGGGTCTATTTCCTTAGCAAAGTAAAATGCATTTTTCCCTCGGTTTTAACATTTAACCTTTAACTTTTGGTCAAAATGTAGTATCTGTTCCTTTCCGAAATAAGTTTTTTTTTATGTCTATAATTGAGTTATTTTCTTTCTTTGCCATCCATTTCAATCAGTCTTTGTTAGTTTATTTCTTTCTTTCTTTCTTTCTTTCTCAAATCTTACTTGAAATTTTCTTTCTTTCTTCCCACCTAATCTTGTTTTCTTCTTTCCTTACCATCCATTTTCTCTCTCTCTCTCACTCACACACACACACACACGTTTTCCCTTTCTTTCTACCCATCTAATCTTATTTTCTTCTTTCTTTTATTTTACCTTCTATTTTCGGTCTTTCTTTCTTAACTTCTCGTAGTTTTCACATTTCTCTTTTTTGTTTTCTAGCCTAATGAAATCTATACAAATAAAACGCATTTTCGTCTGTGAATGGGAAACCTTCAAAAGAGCTTTTGTACAAGAACCGTGAGAATTTAAAGAAACAAAGATCACGAGAATCACTTGACTGTGTAACTTTGTTTTTGTTTTGTCTTAACATTTAACTGAAGAGAATAAAGGACAGAACCTCGAGATGTAACAGTGATAACAGTGCAAGAAGAGTCACATACTTTTTAATTGCTATTGTATTATTACTATTTTTATAATACCATAACACTTCAGAACGTAGACAGTTATGGCTTTCTATGGATTTCTTTTCGTTATTATCTGCGAAATACCAAGACTCCTTTGAAAAGATATTGGACTGGTTTCCCGCTTCCTTTTTTCATTGTGTTGAATTAAAAGGACTTCTTCTAGATCTGCTGCCACCCAAGGCTAGAAAACCCAGCATATCCTGCTAAGTAGGGAGAAAAGAGGAATTCATGTTTTTCTGTATTTGTATGAAATTGAACGCAATAGATGAGCCCGAGATTCGAAAACGGTTCGTCAATTCAGTTTATCGCGTCGGTAGCCGTTACACGACTCGTACATTATAAAGTTAAAAGTTTATTTTTTTTAGTGGGAATTAACTTTTCTTTAATTTTATTTTATTTTCTAATTAATTCCACGGATAAGGATGGTATGCCCTTTGCTCGTATTTCCATTTTTTTTTCGCAGAACACATTTTCAATGTCCAAATGTACGCAATATTAAAGTAATTTAGCGTATTTTTACATTTTGCTTAAATTATATTTTACTCTCGAAACTGACAGAAGACAGAACCTGATTAAAATTCATACACATTTTAAAGAGAGTTACTCATACTCATAGTCTAACACAAAGCCAAGTAGAAAGGGTCATTTGTAGATATGAAGATGGAATGCTTCTTTCTTACAAGAACATGCCCTTGTTTGACATATTCTTAATGTAAAGAACATCGGTCGTTCAGTGAAAGTTTCCTATTTCTCACATCCATGCCCAATCAAACACAGGTGATTGTTGATACTTAGTGAAACACGTAATAAGTCAAACGTTTTCACTCTGCCCTGTCCCTAGCTGCCGCTCGCGCCTCACCCCGGGATCACCAACGCATCGCTTTCCTTTCTTTCTCCATAGTCTTTCGTCGTGTGATTCTTGGTCTTGCCTTTTCTCCTTTTACCTTTAGGGACCCAGGTAACTGCCACGTTGTAGTTGTATTATATTTATTACTACCGGTGAAATAGATTCCAGAGAAGATTTCGTTGATTAACTTTTCTTTTTCCCGGAGCTTTGTCCAGAACGATATCGTGCAATGTTACAATTATACAAGAAATTGTGAACTGACTCAGCCATCTTTGTTACTAAGTCACTGTGGCTTTTCTACGCTAAAGAAGTAACCAGAAAAAGTCATGGGAATGGCCATAATTCCCATTCTTTCTAATGGCATGAAGCAGCTTACTGTCAATAGAAGAAGATAATTTGGGAATGACGTAGGCGATCATGGCTCTCCACAATATCCTGGCCTTTGTAGCTCTTAATGAATTTTGTCTTTTTGTTATTACTCCTAAACCTTGTTCTACTATCCATTTATTCAAGCTCATTCTTCTTCTATACGTAGTGTCTCTTCATGACGTAGGCGATCACGGCTCTCCACAATTTCCTGTCCTTCATAGCTCTTAATAAATTTTGTTTTTTCATTATTTCTCCTAAACCTTGTTCTACTATCCATTTATTCAAGCTCATTCTTCTTCTATATGTCGTGTCTCTTCATGACGTAGGCGATCATGGCTCTCCACAATTTCCTGGCCTTTGTAGCTCTTAATAAATTTTGTCTCCTAAACCTTGTTCAACTATCTATTTACACAAGCTCATTACGTAGGTTATGCATTGCATTCCTTTGTCCCTCTTGCATTTAATCTGCCCTGTGAGTTTCAGATTTCCAAAGCTCTCTTTCCTCATTATATGCCCCAGAAATTTGAACTTTCTCTTCCAGATGTTAATTATAAGTTTCCTTTTTGTTTCCTTTTTCTCGGTCCATAATATTCTCAGCATCCTTCTGTAGAACCATATTTCTGTTGCTTGAGGTCTCTTCTTCATGTAGGACAGATATCACGTAACAGTTCAGTATTCTTTTCTTGGCTTCGAACGAATTTTGTGTCCGCTTGTGCCTGCATAAATTTAAAATTCGTTTATTGATGTGGTCTGATGAGACTAGATTGATTATTTGGTATCGGGAAATAAAATATTACCATGGATTTTTAAAATATCCGCTTTTCATATATATATATATATATATATATATATATATATATATATATATATATATGTGTGTGTGTGTGTGTGTGTGTGGATACTATGGTCAATACAAAGCGGCGACAGTCTGAGCATGGAGACCTCGTCCAAGCATGAAACCGACTGTTGCCGTTTGGTATTGACCTTAGTGTCCACTTTTACATTCTCTGATATTGAACACTTTTACCCATGAATATAGCACACCTTAAAACTATATTTTATCATCTATCTATCTATCTATCTATCTATATATATATATATATATATATATATATATATATATATATAATATATATCATGATTATATATATATATATATATATATATATATATATAAAACCTTGTAAACAAAC